GGGCCCGCGAGCCTCAGGAACCGGCGCCCTCGCGCCCCGGGCCTGGACCGTGCGAGGACCCGCGCAGGGGCTCCGCCAAGGAGGCCCCCGACTCCTTGGGCGCCCTCGTAGGAGAGCTCCTCCCCAGCCGGTTCCGAGAGTTCCTGTGCCAGCTCGGAGTCCAGTGTACCCAGCAGACAAAGCCACCGAGTGAGGCCCTGCTGGACCTTCCAGGGGGCGGGGCAAGGGCGGGGCTGAGTAATTTCCGGCGGGGGGACGGGGTCCCACCACCTGGCATAGAATGATGCTAGTGTTCGGAGTATGCCTGGTAACCACCCCTTGAGGGCAGGTCTACCATTGCCCCTACTGTACAGATGAGTAAACTCAGGCCCGAGGCCATACAACTAGGTAGAGCCTAGTAAGGACTGTACCCAAGCGAAGGCTCATAGCTATTTCCACCTCCTCCTGGCTCCCAGCACCCTCAGCATCGCAACATCAGCGGGGTGTATCAGAGCACTGCGGAAGTTCTCAGTGTCCCAGCGGCTCCTTCCTCCCAGACCTCCAGTAAGTGCCAGCGACCTGCTGCTGGGGACAGGGTTGCCATCAGTGCTCCGACAATGGGGAACCTGGATCACTCATGCCAGGTGTGGTCTATTTGTCTTCAAGGGACCAGTCATCACACTTCAAGAATAGTCTTAAGAAGATTTTGCTCCATCAGATACCTGCCCTGGGGCCCTTGAGGAGAGACCACTCACAATTTACCACAGTCAAGAAGGCCAACCAGTGAGTTATGGGAGGGTGGGGGTAAGGGAGTGGAGAGAAAGAGCATTTCTTTCCTTCCTTCCTTTGCTCTGACTTTCACCCATGAATTTATCCATCTGTCCACCTATTCATCCATCTCTGTGTCCATCCATGAATCAGGTCTTCTCCCAACTTGTTCAAGAATCATCCATCAACATCTATGAATCCATCCACCCGTGAATCAAGTCTGCTACCAACACATTCATAATTCATTCATGGATCCACACATATATTCATTCTCCCATTCACCCTTCCACCCTTGCATACATCTCATCTCTGAGCTAGGTCTTTTACAACCTGTTCACGAATCTCTCCATTCATCCATCCATCCATCCACTCATGAACCAGGTCTCCTATTGATCCATTAATCCACCTAGCCATCCATCCACCCATCCATCCATCCATTTAACTAATCATCCAGCTATTCACAAACTCCCAGAATTCTATCCATCTATCCATGAATCCAATAATCAATCATCCACCAATCTTTCCATCCACTTGTAAATCCAGGATACTATCCATCTCTAATCTAGTCATGAAGCCATCTACAGGTCTATGTACTCATCTACATAATCATTCATCCACCCATATATCCATACATCTACCCATCCTCCTAAGATTCAGTCCTATTATGACCTTTTCATTAATTCATCCATCAGTCCATCCATCCACCTGCCTTCAGACACCACAAATGGATCAGAGTAGGTGCCAGAAATGAAACACATCTGCCAACCTAGGAACTTTAAATCAATCAGGCCAAATAAACATACTACTTCTCACAAGATAGAATAAATAAAAGTATGGAACTCATTATCTCAGATGTGAGCAACAGCAGGGTGGACACCACATTGTTTCACACTAAGGAGCTAATTCTTGAGCGCCTTTCAGTGAGTGGGATTCCCTGGGAGGCCCTGCTGAGGACACCAGGTTGCCTTAGAACAGGCTCCAGCGGCCTTTGAGAGCAGAAGCTGAGGGTTCAGACCAGCACAGAGCTGGAGCGAGCCTTTGTCAGGTCCTGCGGCTGGCACATAGCAGGAGTGCAAAAGCAGACAACTGTTGGGTAACTAGGTCCCAATGCCTGTAGCCAGAACTGTCTTGGCCACCTCCTGGCTGCATGGCTCTTCAGTGGGCTTATGAAAAGCATCCCTTCTGTGTCTACGTGGACATAAAGATGTGGTCAGATAAATGGAGGCAGATATGTCAATATGCATATACTTATGGTCAAACATGGCATTTCTAAATAACAGAGCCATGGATGGATCAAGCCGGCTGTCCTACAGCCCTACCCTGGAGGCTGAACTAATGACAGTAAATAAATGACAGTAAGTTAATGACAGTAGCAATAACAGATACGTTTTACTGGTACTTTACCAATATCAGATTCCTTACCGTGTCCTGGACGCCTCACATCATTTACTTGCTGCTCACCAAACTCTTATAAGGAAGCTATTCTCATGCCTATAACACACAGGACATAATTTAAAGGGGAAAAAAGCAAAATGGAGAGGGCAGTCTGCCCCAGGCCACATGGCTGGGAAGCATAACTGAAATCGATGATTATGAGAACAGCTCCCGGTCAGAGATGTTCACTCCTGGCCCCGCAGACCCTGGGCAACGTGCACCGAAGTCCCTTTCATCTCTTCACTGCCCTGTACAGTGGGCACAATGATGATCCCCATTTTCCAGACAAAGAAATTGAGGCTCAAAAGAGTTAGACTTGAAACCCAGGACTGCCTGACTCCTAAATTCATATCCTTATTCTTGCTGCTGGATTGCTTGACGTGTGAGTGCCCGCTCTGGAACCAGGATTTAAATCTCAGCTCCACCTCTAAACAGCTGTGTGACCTTGGGCAAGTTGCAAAAAAGAAAAAAAAACAAAAACCAACTCTGTGCCTCAGTTTCCTCATCTGTAAAATGGGAATAATCATCATGTTTCCCAGGTGGTGTGGATTTGGTGGGCTGATGCCTGTCACGCACTTGATCCACTGCCTTGAGGGCAGGACGTGCTCAGGAAACCCTGTGGTTGTCAGGGTCTCACAGCGAGCTCCGGGCTGGCGAATGTGTGTGGTCAGGGTGGCGTGGGGCGCTGGGGGCTCAGGCCCTGGTCCTCCCCTGCCCCTCTTGCTTCTCTCAGCAGGCCCCACGCTACACAGGGTCCCAAGCTCAAGGCTGTGCTCACCCACAACTCCTCGGGGGAAGGCTCAGGCCACCGCAGGCGGTGTTGCCCTTTCCGAGTGAGGTTCGCTGATGAGACACTGAGGGATGCAGCGCTCCGCTACTGGGAGCGCAGCTGTGCAGGTGAACAGACAGGATGGGAGCCCTGGACTCCAGAAAGTTCCAGCCTGGACAGCAGAGGCCATGGACCTGGGTCCTGGGAGTTAGGGGCTGGCCTGCAAAGGCCAAGAGGCCGCTGACCCTGCAGAGGGGACATCTGAACTGGCCTTTTAACAGAAGCTGTTAAGGTGACCTTCAAGGACTAAGTAGAGGGTCTGAGGTCCAACAGAGGTGTCCCAAGGTGGGTGGCACCAGGGAGAACAGTGGCTGCCCAGGCCTGGCCACCACGGAAGGACTTCTTGCTGCCAAGGGTTCCCACACGCCCTGTCCACCCACCTTGGAACCAGCACCGCAGCCTGCAGACCCCTCATCTGGCCCCGAACATGGCCTCCAGGGGCTGGAGGAGGTAAGAAGCCACCAGAAGCATCTTTTTCCCACATCCATGAAGGCAGGCCTCCAGGGCCTAGCTGAGAAGGTGCCCAGAAAGTTCCAGAAGATCACACCTCTACGGAAGGCCGACACTGCCTGGTCCAGACAAGCAGCTGGGAACTAACCACCGGGCCCAGGGTCTCAGGCAGAACCTGGCTCTCGGCTCTTTGGGGACAGATACGATAGTGTCCGTTTTGGCAGGGCTTCCAGTGTTTTCTGAAGTGGCCGTGGAGAGGCAGGCCAGAGGAATACCTGTCCTTACTCTGGTGTGACCTTTACCAGGGCCCCTTTCCCCAGCTGCTCGGTCCCTTTTCTTCTCAGGAGTCCAACAGCCACATCTATTTATTAAGCACCAACTGTGTGCACTTTCAGGGAATGGCTGCCCCAAAGCCTCCCTGGGGGTAAAGCCCTCAAAATCCAGGCCCTTGGCCCGACCCAGCCCCCTTCGGGCCGCAGGAAGTGGGAGGTGCAGGCTGCAGTTGTGCCCAGCTTCTAGTTGTTCAATGGGGAAGCCAAGGCCCTGAGAGCAGATGACACAGCAACCAAGAAAGAAGCCACAGCATCCCCGGGCCACCCCTGGGGATCCAAGGAAAGGGGACACTGGAGAAAGTTGCTTGCAAATGGCATTTGGGTAGCATGGGAGACTGGGTACAGGGGCTGGGTTATAGCCCAGGGCACCAGCACGGGGCTGGGACGGCTGCTTCTCAGTCCTTTCCACCTGGGGAATGTGGGGTTCCTGGCCAGCTGGAGGAGCAGCACTTGGACATGAAGGGCTCCCAGCCCCAGTTACCCTTTCTATCTACATAGGATTCTCAGCATTGTCTCTTAGATTTCCGGGTGGAGTGATTGGCCTTCCCATTGCGGGAAAGGGAGCCCATTTGGGGCTGGAGCAGGAGTGGGTGTGGGGGGGGGCGGGGGCACAGCTTGGGTAATAAAGGCGGAGACAGTCATGCAGGATAGTTTTAAAACCCCAGCCTTCACTAGAGGCAGCCAGAAGGCACTAGGGAGCCTTGGGTTGCCATGGAGATGGGGCTTTGCCCAGTCTTGCCTGCCAGAGGGAGGAGGGGAGAGTAGAGGGGGCGCCCCAACCTGGGTAGAGAACTCACAGTTGCCCTCTCTCCTCCAGCACAGCAGGGTGTCACCGAGAACAGGACAGCCAACCGGTCAGGGTCAGCGGCATCGGAGCAGGTGTTAGGGAGTGTCGGGAGATGGCTGGAGAGTTTGCCCAAAGCCCTGTACCCCGGGGCCAAGGAGGAGACCATGGACAACTCATTCACCTGGGACTTCCCTGGCTTGTGAGGCTTTGAGGAAGGGGACAGGATTCATGCATCTCCCCACACTGTAAACCCCCCTGTCCAGCAGTGGTCTGGGTCCTTGAGGGCCCTGCCAGCCGTGGGTGGACCTGGGACTCAGGGTCCCAGCAGCTCATGAGCTCCTGTCCCCCTCAGGTCCACCCAGGAGCCGAAGGGCCACCTCTCTGAGGACACCTCCATGAACAGCAGCCTGCCCTTCATCCCTAGGGCCACCATCCCGAGGCAGCGGGGGGACCTCAAAACCTTCCTGGAGCAGGTGGGCAAATCGCCCTGTTCCTGGAGCCAGAAGCTGGTAAGCAACTGCTGGTAGCTAGCCACCAGGAGCTCCCCTTGCCCAGTGGTGGGTGCCCAGTGGGGTGGCCCAGGGCTCTGGGTAAACCCCACTGTGTGCTCAGCTCAGGGGTGGACTGTAGGGCTGGGCTGCCTGGGTTCAGATCCCAGCTCCTTACTTGCAGACAGTGGGGTCTTTTTGCATATCAGTTTCCGAATCTGTAAAATGGGGCTGACTGCAGTGATTTGCCTCCCCGGGCTGCAGTGTAGAATCCCTCTGGGCCCAGGGAACCCCATCTCCTGCCCAGAGGCCCCCTGCATCACCCAGCTGGTCCTCATTCTCACTCTAGGAGTCCTTCCTGCCCAGCCTGGTGTTGCACACTGTCTTGAAACGAGGCCACCCTAAGGGGTACCAGCTCCTCCTGCCTTCCGCAACATCTCATCGTGCTCAGAGATAAATGGCCACTGGAACCCAAGCCCAGGCATGGACATGGGCCGGGAGTGAGGAGAGGATTTCCCTGCCCTGCAAATAAACACACATCCCAGGTGGCTGGAACCTGCTGCCAGGTCTCACCATACAGGGTTCTCCAGGTGCTTGGCTGCTGGTCTTGAGGGATGGGGCAGGAGTCCTGGACCAAGGGGGAGGGAGGGGGTGGAGTCACAGCTGGGATGGGGCTGAGGGCTGGGGGCAAGGTGTCTTCAAGGGTCAGGCTTGTTCCAAGTGAGCCCCTCTTCTGGGAGGTGGAGACCGCCACATACCTCAAACTTGGGACCAAGCCTCTGTCAACCTAGATCAGCCCACACCTGAAACAGGTACCTGCCCTGACCACTCCCCCTTCCCTGACCCCAGCTTCCATCTTTGACTGGAGCCAAAGGCTGTCTGATGACCACCTCTATGAGGTGAGGAGGCAAACATTTGTCTTATGTGTTCCCCAGGTCAGGTTCTCACCATCTGGTCCCTGGAGGGCAAACATCTGGGTGGGCAGAGGCCAGATGTTTCTCTCTTAGTGGCAGGAAGAGGTAGGAAGGCACCAGGAGCATCCTTTCCCAATATCCATGAAGGCAGACCTTAGGGGCCCGGCTGAGGAGGTGCCCAAGAAGCTCCAGACGATCACACCTCCACAGAAGGCGGGCCCTGGCTGGTCTAGCAAAGCAGCAATGTGCTGAGCCACATAGGAGGCGGTGAAGGACAAGGTGGTGGGAACTGCCTTGGGGGTTATCTGACCGCTACACTGGCCCAGCAGTGCCACCTCGCTTCGCCTGTCTGCCAGGTTAGGCCCTGCCACACATCTGCATTCCAACTGCTGGGCAAAGTTTGAGCTCCTTCCCCTCTCTCCTTGAAGCAGCGCTTGGGCACCAACCCCTGGCCAAACCCCGGATCGAGTTCTTTATCGCCACCTCCTGGCCAGCGAGAAAACAGACACGGAATCCACAGCCAAACGCTGTGTTAAGGGATGGCTGGGATTGGGCTGGACAGGCAGTGGGGATTTTAGGGCCAAGACGCGTTGTGGAGGGGGGAGGCCTGTTTTGAAGGGGTGCTCTGGCTCCAAAAGAAAGGCCACAGGGGAGTGGGATGGGGCTGTGTTGCCACCCCTCTTCACTGGGGACTGTGGTGGGATTCCAAACCCTGGGATGACCTCTTCCCTCCATCTCATTTCTCAACTTTCACTACCCCTCCTCCCCAGTATTTCTATTTCCTGAAAAAGTCTGTGGGTCCCAGAGGAGGC